TCCCAATTGCCCCCCTAAATCCCCCCTTTTCCCCTCAAATTTCCCTTGTTTCCTCTGAATCCCCTCCTTTTCCCCTCAAATTCCCCCTTTCCCCCCCAATTCCCTTCCCCCCGCCCCCGGGGCCCCCCCCCCCCCCGCGGGGGCGCCCCCCCGCCCCCCCCCCCCCCCCCCCCCCCCCCCCCCAAATCTCACCTTGACCTCCGGCGGTGGGGGAGGGGCGGCCTCCTGCGGCTCCATGACCCTGACTTGGATTTTGGGGAGGGGAGGGGGGGGTCAAAGGTCACGACCCCTCCCCCCCGACCCCACCCCTCCCCCTCCCCCACCCCTTGGGGGCGACCCCGGGGTCGGTACCTGTTGCCACCTTCACGCGCCCTCTGGGAAACGGCCCCTCCCCCACCCCCTTCGCCCCTCCCCCACCCTCCCCGCCCCGGCCCCTCCCCCCGCCCACACCCCGTTCCCACGGCGGGGGGAGGGGCGGGCGTGGCTAAAAATACCCTCCCCCACCCCCCGCCCCTCCCCCCACCCCGGCGACGCCGCTCGGGGGTTTTAATTGACTTTAATTAACTTCGCTCCACTTTTAATTGACTTTAATCAACTTTAATTAAGGCTCTGGAACGACCCGACGCGGCCCCGCCCCTCCCCCTCCCCCGTTAATTAAATAATTAATTAAAGCGCCAGGGGAGGGGGGGAGGGGCTGATTCGGAATGTAAATGAGCTGGAATGATTAATTAGGAGCGCTAATTGGGCTGAAATAATTAATTAACGAATCAAATAGCTAATCAGGCTCAAATAATTAACTGCGTTAATCAGCGCTGAATAGTTAAGTAGGCTCAAATAATTAATTAATTAATTAATTATCGATTCCTGGGGCTAATTAAGCTTCAATAATCAGAGAGATTGATCAGCCTTGAGTAATTAATCAGGGGGGTCCCTTAACCTTTGCTAATAAATCTTTGCAGGTGTAATTAGCCTCGGTTAATTAATCAACGCCCTGAATAAATTAAGCAGTGCAAGTAATGAAGCCGAATAATTAACTGGAGGAGCTCATCAACCTGGAACAATTAATGAATAATTAACCAGCCCAGAACCATTAATCATTAAAGCCTTGGATCTTCAATAATTGGGGCTAATTAGCCCAGAATAATTAAGAGGGATCATTCAGCCTTGCGTAAATAATTAATGTGGCAGATTTGCCTCAAATAATTAATCAAAGAAATCGATTAAGCTCAAACAATACATTAATGGCACTAATTAGCCTCAAATAATACATTAATAGGATTAATTGACCTTCAATAATACATTAACTGGGCTAATTAATCTGGAATCATCAATAACAATTAACCTGGAGTGAATTAATTGGGCACGCTAATTAACCTCAAATAATCAATTGGTTGGGCCAATTAGCCTTGACTAATCAATCCAGGGGGCAATCAACCCCGAATAATTAACCCATGAGCCCAATTAACCCAGGGAGGTTAATTAGCCCTAGGATAATTAACCGAGTGGGGCTAATTAGCCCAGAATAATTAAGAGATGGGGGCTAATTGGCCTGGAATAATTAAGAGATGGGGGTTAATTAGCCCAGGAGGGGGGGGGGGGGCACTGGCCCCTTGTCCTGAGAGTTCGTGGCTCGTTAACGGGGGGTAATTAATGCCCTTGGGAGGGGAGGGATGGGGGAAAGGACTGACACGGGAACAACATGGGAATGACACAGGATTTACATGGGATTGACACGGGATTTACATGGGATTGACACGGGATTTACATGGGATTGACACGGGATTTACATGGGTTTGACATGGGATTTACATGGGATTGACACAGGATTCCAGTAGGATTGACACAGGATTCCCGTGGGATTGACATGGCACTGACACGGGATTGACACAGGATTTACATGGGATTGACACAGGATTCCCGTGGGATTAAGGCACCATTGGCAGGGAACACGGGGAGAGGGACGACACGGGAATGACACGGGATAAACAAGGGCCTGACACGGGATTGTCACGGGATTTAAAAGGGATTAAGGCAGAACCAGCAGCGAATCCAGGGAAGGGTGACATGGGAATGACACAGGAATGACATGGGAACGACACGAGATAAGGCACCACCAGGATCAACAGGGAGCCAACACGTGATGACACGAGACCCCGACACGGGACAGACACGGGACAGATATGGGACCGGGGCTTTAAGGCCGGAATCAGCTGGAATTCAACACAAGATGGACACGGGATGGACATGGGATGGACATGGGATGGACAAGGGACTGATGGGGGATGTTTAAGGCCAGAATCAGCAGTAACAGCATGTGACTGACATGAGATGGACACGGGACGAACATGGGATGGACACGGGACTGACATGGGACCAATGGGGGATGTTTAAGGCCAGAATCAGCAGTAACAGCATGTGACTGACATGAGATGGACACAGGATGAACATGGGATGGACACGGGACTGACGAGGCATGTTTGAGGCCGGAATCAGCAGTAACAGCGTGTGACTGACATGGGATGGACACGGGATGGACACAGAATGGACATGAGACCAGTGGGAGGGGTTTAAGGCCGGAATCAGCAGTAACAGCGTGTGACTGACATGGCATGGACACGGGATGGACATGGGATGGACACGGGATGGACATGAAACCAATGGGGGGGGTTTAAGGCCGGAATCAGCAGTAACAGCGTGTGGGTGACACGGG